ATCTTTCTTCCCCACTCTTATATCTATCCTTCCTCAAATGTTTCCTAACCAAATAAATGAATCTCATCCAACCAGTTATTTAAATCAGACATTTCTTCAGTTTTTTTCCATGATTTTTCCTACTGCACCTTATATACAACATCTTCTCAATGAATATAATCCATCAATTCTACTTTCACATAACCCCTGCATGTGTCTCCTTCTTTACATGTAGCTCAATGTTGCCATCATTTCTTGCCACTCTCCAGACTGATCTTTCTGCCTTCATTCTTGCCTCTCTATACCTGTTTTCTCTACAGCAACCAGAATGGTCTCCTTAAAATAGCAATCTGAGAATAGCATCACTAGGTTTAAAACACTCAGGGTTTCCCTCATAGCTATTAGGACAATAAACCGCTTTCCTTTGGTCCTGGCCGCTGTTTAAGGTTCTCTCATCATATCTGACCGCCTCTGTGTTCACTGAGCACCCTCTGTGTGCACAGCATTCTCTGCTGTTTCTGTGACTTCTCACATGTGTTTCTGGTGCCTGGGACACTCCTGGTTCTTCTTCAGGCCTTGAATTAGATGTCATATCTTCTGAGAAAAACGTTCTCTAATTCTTTCAAGGCAAGATTGTCTCTTCCACGTCCCTCTGCTTTCTTTTCAAACTCTTAGTTTTCTTTTTTCTTTTTCTTTTTATGCAGTTTCATAATTTCTCTATTGTTGGTATTCTCTCACAGACAGTAAGAACCAAGTAAACATGACACTTTTTACCATAATATTCCCTAATCTCCCACTCTGCAAAGCCCAGAATAAGTGCCTAGGAAATATTTGATAAGTGAGAATAAAAATGGGGAGTGATTGCATGAAGAAGAAAAATTATTATTGGAGTAATACTCTGTGCATTGTTGGAATGGTAGCAAATAAAGGGAGGTCTTAGACTTAGATAGCTCATTTCTTCACAGAAAGGAAAAATTAGGGGGATGATAGTGAATGTTCCTAAGGCTCAGAGGTTCTAGGAAAATAGGGAAGACAATTAGAATGTTCGGACTGAATAAAGAGAATTCACCAGTGAGGAGAGGAAGAGTCTAAGGGAATGAGAAAGGGGTAAGAGGACAAAATAGCATAAGAAAATGGAAGACAAAATTGGGGAAATCAAAGAAGTAGATTGTGAATAGTGAGCAGAGGTTTTGAGCAAAGAGAAGAATTTCTAAACTTGAAATATTAGAAAAATATTTATTTTAAATTTTTGGAAGAGATCATGTGGAGACACCTATTTTATTAAAATAAGAATGAATATTTTTCAGTAGAAAATATAATCTTAATTTCTTAGATAAGTTTTATTAAATTGGAATTATTGTTTTTATATTCTCTTTTTCTATTTTAATAAATTTAGCTGTTATTTTCCATGCATAATTTTAGTTTTGGGCTGTCAATGGAGCTATATCAAACTGTTAATTTGTCTATAATATCCTCCACTCTTTTATTATCAGATGTTGAAGGAGAGATAAGGATTGAAAACCCTTTTATCAAGTATTTCATAAGTTGCTTGAATTATTTCTCACTAGCATCCATATTTGTAAGCGATAATTATCCTGACATATTTTAGAAAGTGAACATCATGTTTAATATGACTTCTTTCATGTCCAAACACCAAGAGAATATTTATACATGTAAAATTTATTTGCATTGTTGTTTTTGTGCTTTTAACATTGCTTTTATTAGATTATAGCTTCCTGAGAACAAGAAATATATATTATTCACTTTGTTTTTTATGATATATATATTTATCTTGTATATATTTATGATGACATAAAAGATAGTTGGATTTAATTACTTGAAATTATTTAAGTTATTCAAGTGTTTATATGAACAACTGCACTAATTTGGGAGATAATATTAGACCAACTTTTTCTCCATTGCTCCACGGCTACAGCAGAAGAATGTGTGAGTTTTTATAATTAAAAATAAAAATTCTGAAGCTGGATTTTAATGTGATCCCTTAAATGTAACATGTGATTGAGGCTTCCTTTTGGTACCACCTAATAATAACATAATACTTTTGTTAACATTTTATAAAATTGTTTCTCATGCACTATTTAAGCTTAAAATATTTGTTTGTATATGTTCATGTTGACCAATGTCACCCCAATAAATTTAATTTGATATAATAAAATATTTGTTTGTATATAAACTATTTGTGACACACAAGGTGAAAAGAACCCAATTTTAAAATTAGGCATTTGCTATCTGAGAATTAAGAGTATTGTCAAGGTCACAGAAACCTCAGCCAGGTGGCTCAGTTGGTTGGAGTGTCATCCCATACACCCTAATGATGCCGGTTCAATCCCAGGTCAGGGCTCATATCCAGGTTGAGGATTTCATCCCCATCCGGGGCATGTACAGGAGGCAACCAATCGATGTTTCTGTCACATATCCATGTTTCTTTCTGATCCTTCCCCACTCTCTCTTTCTCAAACAAACAAACAAACAAAAAAACAAAAAAACACACAAGAGCGACAAATGATGAACTGTGTTTTCATACACTCACACCTCACTTCTAGGAATCTAATTTCATCGTTGAGGTAATACTTCTTTGGTTTGTACATTAAAATTCCTACTGTCACATTAATTATTCCTCTCAACATTCCATATATATACATATATATATATATATATGTATATGTATATGTATATGTATACACGAGTGTAATTTTATGAAGACCAGATTTGCAAACAATTATTAAGGTTAAAGTAATACATTATTTTATATATCTAAAAACTTCTGGTGCTAAGTGATTCCAATTTTCAAGTTACTATTTTCCTACTCTTATTACAGTGGAACACTGAACTTAAAATGTGAATAGGGAATGTTTCGTATGTTTTACATTATTTGGAGAGTCTGTATAATTTGCCTAAGAAGGATAGCGGAGGGTAGCCCTGTGAGATATATTAAGCGCATGGTCCCAGAGCAAATGTTAAAGGAAGGCTACAAGCATGGAAAAGAGGATAACGATGATTATTCACAGGTATAAAGACTAGAACTCAATAACATAAATAAATCAGGTTTCAGGATTCTGAATTCTTTTCTGGTCTCTTAAGTATGAGGCTGACCTGTGGGTATATATTTCATTGTTAATATAATGCATCATGGGAGTATAAGGAGATTACTCTGAGGATTTAAATACCTGCAATGTCCTAAGTGCTCTCAGTGAGAGGAACTCAACTTCTTAGTATGTCACATAGTAAATCTGTGAAGCTAGTACATATTTTATACCATTTGTATGAGCCACAACCAGATCAACCCAGGTATTTACAGAAGCATTTTTTGAATTCTGTGTTTAATCTAGACAGTCTTATGTTTTTTTCTTTTTATTTCCTTCCCTCCTAGCACAGATATTTGTTGACTGTTCACTGTGTTTCAGGCTATTGAATTATAGCACCAAAGAAAACATGCCAAGTTCTTATTCTCATAGAAATTATACTGCATGGGGTGGAGAGAGAAAATAAAATAAGCAAATGAATATTAGATATAGAGAGAGGCCGAGAGCTGTTTAAATAGCAGATGATGAACCATCTTAGGAACAAAATGAATGAATGAAAATAAGTGTTTTGTGTTTTTGTGGGTTTTTTTTTGTAAGTCCTGGTATAAGGATTCCAAGGCTTTTAAGGTAATCAGCAAGGGGCTTTTTGATAATGTAATATTTGAACAAAGGCCTGAGTAGAAATGGGAACCCACACTTGAAGATAGAGGAGGGCAGAGAGCTACACAGGCCAGAATGATCTGAGGCAGGACTGAGAGTGCTTGTCTTGTTTGAGAACCAGAAGGGGGCAGCTTGGCTGACTAGGAGTGACCTAGGGAAGGAAGGGTTGATTGAAGAAAAGGAATGTGGGGTATCAGGAGCTGCATCATATAGGGCTTCTGAATACTATAAGAATTATATTTCATTGTGAATAGTCTGAAAAGATATAGGAGGGTTTAGAGAGGGCAGTGGCATAGCAGCCAGGTGCACTCTGGCTGTCTTGTGGAGAAGTGGGCCCAGGTTGGTAAGGTGGAATCAAACGGGCTATAAGGTGTCTATTCCTGGCAATGGTGGTCTGAGAGAGGCAGGTCTTAAAGGATGTGATAGAAAATGGTGAAAATAGGGACGGGCTGATAGAATGTGGAATGTGAGAGACACAGAGGACTCGGTGGCTCCAGGGTCTTTGGCTTGAGTGCCTAGAAAATGATATCTCTGTTCACCGAGATGGGGACAACATGACAGGATTTGTTTTTTATTGTTGTATTATGTGGATCTCATTTCTCCCCTCCTATCCAATTTTTTCTGGAGACTGGAATAGACGAATTTGTAGTAATACTTATTAGTGATGGCCATAAGTAATATTAGATAGCACATAAAGCTTGCCAAATATATTTTTTTTAGCCAGTAATGCATTTGATCTATGTGGTCACACTGCTGATTTCTGTACCTAGTCCTAACTTTCTGGGGAAAATTTGAGTGTTTTTATTACATAGAAGGTAACTTGTAACACAGTTTAAAATACGTAAAGAATGGACAAACGAAACAGAAACAAACTCATGATACAGAGAACAATCTTATGGTGCTTTATTGGAGACTGGTTGGGGACCTTTGTAAAAATGGGTGCAGAAATTAAAAGTACACAATTGCAGTTATAGAATAGTCATGGGGATATAAGTTCATCATAGGAAATACAGCCAATAATATTGAATAATGATGTATGATGCCAGGTGTATACTAGAATTGTTGTGGGGAGCACCGTGTAAATTCTAGTATTGTCTAACCCCTGTGCTGTATACCTGGAACCAATATACAATAATATTAAATGGCAACTGTCATTTGAAATAGGAATGGTTCACATTTACTGGAAAAAGTGAACTTAGCAAAATTAGTTCTTGAAATGTATCAAATAGGAGTTAAAAGAAAGTGAAAATGCACTGTACTGAATGGTATTATACATCCAAATGTGAACTCATATATATCCTATAATTTGTCTCTCAGATCCAAGGTTCATTAGTGCCCACCTTATCCCAGAGAGTGACAACCCTGAAGATGACAAAGTATATTTTTTCTTCCGTGAAAATGCGATAGATGGAGAACACACTGGAAAAGCCACTCACGCTAGAATAGGTCAGATATGCAAGGTGAGATGAAGAAAAATAAATTGAGGAAGATACTGTTGAATCATAATTTTATTTCGTTTTCCTTTTCCACTTATGTGCAAATGCAGTGAAAAATCTGACTAAAATTCTTGAATTATCATTATAAATATTTAAATGGTGAAAAATGATTGAAAACATATCATTGTGTATGAGTAACTCTTCATAGTCAAACAAGCAAGCAGGGGTTGGAAGCATTACTTCAAAATTACATTACTGTGGTCTTAGTTTAAAAGTCTAGAGAAGTAATTATTTTACATTGCCTAGGAGAATATATACATTTTTTGTATCCTCAGACCTAGCACACTTTCCTATAATGTATAATTTTTGAATGAATATTTGTTGTTAGGATAACTAAATTATTAGTATAAAAGTATTAAATCTTATTTTTATAAATTGATTATTATAATATCCTATGCACATACATAATTTTGAAGCTTTGAAATTGATTTGAGTAATTATTTACTGTATGGCACAAAATTAAATGTAATATGGCATTATAATGTTAGATATGTATAATAAAAAATGATCAATACCTATGGATTAATTAGTATCAGTGTGAAGGTATGATAACAGTACTAATTTCCCTTCTACCACTGTATAGTACAGTATATGTGCAATATGGACAAAGTTAACTGTTATTATATACTAGAGGCTCAGAGCACAAAATTTGTGTGGGGGGTAAAGGGGTGGGGAAGGGTGTCCCTCAGCCCAGCATGCACCTTCTCCAATCTGGGATCCCTCTCACAATCCAGGACTGCCGGCTCCCAACTGCTCACCTGCCTGCTTTCCTGATTGCTCCAAACCGCTTCTGCTTGCCAGCCTGATCACCCCCTAACCTCTCTCCTGCTAACCTGATCAATGCCTAACTGCTCCCTTGCCAGCCTTGTCACCCCCAACTGCCCTCCCCTGCAGGCCCGATTTCTCCTAACTGTCCTCCCCTGTAAGTCATTCCTTGAATAAAGTTTGAGTGAATAAATTTGGCCAGCAATATGATTTAAAAAGCACAGGTATTTGTATCATGTCACTCAAATTTCCTCCTTCCTCATGTTGATATATGAGGAATTGTACTATGAATCTATCTCAAGATAAGAGAAATACTTGAGATTAGCTTTTGCATGCAAAGTTCCCCCAAACCAGCATTTTCTCCTTTCAGAATGACTTCGGGGGGCACAGAAGTCTGGTGAATAAGTGGACGACATTCCTCAAAGCTCGTCTGATTTGCTCAGTGCCAGGTCCAAACGGCATTGACACTCACTTTGATGAACTTCGTAAGTACTGCTGGTGATATTTTACAGAGAATGTTTGCTCAGACTTTGCCATAATAATAAAAAATGCAACTTTTCTCAATTTTGTTTTCAAACAGAGGATATATTCCTAATGAATTCTAAAGATCCTAAAAATCCAATTGTATATGGAGTGTTTACAACTTCCAGGTAAATAACTTTTTTACCCTCTTATCATAGATGTCCTTTAGGTGCTTTCTTAGCAACCATCAATGGTGAAAATATACTCATGGAAGATCAATGTTGGCTTAACCTTTGAGGTGTGCATTGTTGGATGACTGAAATAAGTTATAATATCAATAGTTTAAAAGGATAAATTTTAGCAAAAAATATCACTCAAAATAATTCTGAAAAATGTATGTCATGTTCTATATATAGCTTTGGTTTTAAAAACTGAGCACAATGTAGAATTTTATAAGTTTACAACAATATAAAATAAAAGTGAAAAAACACTTTTCCCTTCCCTCTCCTATCTCTTCTCCTCTCCCTAGCCCTTCTTCTTTCCTCACTCTTTGTCTCTTTGTCCTCCCTCTGCTTTCTGCCTTTTCCTTCCTCCCTTTTGCTTTTTTTTTTTTTTTTGCCCTGGTATAAGGATTCCAAGGCTTTTAAAGAAAGTAATCAACAAGGGGTAATCAACTTTACATGTCCCTCAAGGCTCTTGCTATAAATCAAAGAGCAATTATTTTCTATTACATTCAGTATACAATTTAAATTACCTGGAATTGTTCAAGGAAATATACAAGCACCTAAGTAAGGCTACATGTTCCTATATGGATAAATGTTTAAAAGAAAAGTAATTTAAAATCAAAAGGCCGGTAAAATGCTGCAGGGGATTGCGATAGCATCAGAGGAAGATTAACTGCAATATCCAAAATTGATTTATTCTGTGAGTATCAATGCCATTACAAATTGATTGGATATTTTTACTTAATTTAAAAAATAATAAAATTTTTAAAAACCTATATTGCTAAAATGATATACAAGCCTAAATAGTTTCTCCCTTTAATTTAAAAACAGAATGACAACTAAAGAATGTGAGAGGTCTAAGTTAAACAAACTTTAACCCAGCTCTCTGCTTCTTTAATGTCTGTACAGTGGTTCTCAGACTGGAGCATTCATTGGATTGCATGTCAAAATACAGATTGCTAGGTCCTGCCCCCACAGTTTCTGATTCTGTAGGAATGGGGCAGGACCTAAGAATTTGCATTTCTAACACATTCCCAGGTGATCCCATGCTGTTGGTCTTAGAGAACACACTTTGAAAATCACTTGCTTAACAATGAGTAAAATAATTCTGCCTCTCTACTTCAGTGAGATGGATGTCTGCATGTGAGTGAGTCTTAAGAGCTGTAAATCATAATCAAGTCTTTCAGTGCTGACTTATTTCATCAAGAGATGAAAATGGTTAAATAAACGTTAGAATCTATGATGTATCATCTGTGTATTAATTTGCTATTCTATTATGAAAATACTAGAGGCCGGTGCACAGATTCCTGTACCAATGGGGTGCCTCAACCTGGTACGCGGGGATCAGGCCAAAACCGGCTCTGTGACATCCCCTGAGGGGTCCCAGATTGCAAGACCCCCTCCTGCAGACCCAGTCCCCAGAACCGGATGCCCACCGGCTCCCTTCTCCTCCCTCCTCTTTGGGTTCAGGATGTGGGTGAGGCAGATTTGGGGCTGACAGTGCCCCAGCAACAAACTAACCCATGGCCGGTTCCACGAGGAGTCAGGCTCCTTCCTCTACTAGTCAGAGTGTTTGCCCCCCTGGTGGTCATTGTGTGTCATAGCTACATGGCAGATGTTCAAACAGTTGCAGAGTTGCTTAGGCTTTTATATATATATATATATATATATATATATATATATATATATATATATACATATATATATGTTGTTATTAAATTCTACGGTTATTTACTGAGATGGACTCTGTGTCAGGGGTCATGCAATATGTAACTGAAGCTATAGAAAGGAACCCAGGCATGCTTTCATCCCTCATGAAGCTTGCACTCCACTAGACATTATATATATGCAGTGATTTCTGTAGAATAAAATCTTATAAACACATGTTTTTCATTTGGTCTGATTTATATGTAATTTTCTCTGGGAAAGATTGCTTAAAAGATAAGCATTCCATATTTTAAATGTGCACAACTGTTTTATATCATGCTATAAATACATCCCTCAACATGTATTTATATAAGTAAAATAAAATGGAAAATTGTGGCAACTCATGGCAAACTTCCAGTTTGCTTCAATTACCTGATTTTTGTCTAGCAAAATGATGGGGATAATTGTTATAATATTCCACCTTGACTAGGATGTGATAGCTACTGACTTAAAATTATTTTCTGTGTTGGGAAGAAGTGATTTTAAATACCTTTACAACAATTAGCTGATCTAATATTTATGGTGATTTGGAAGTAAAAAATAATATAACACATCATATGACCTTGACTATTCATTTTCTGCTCATTTCAGCTTTAAAATGACTTCTTAAGCCTTCTTGTTTAAAAGTTTCCTGGTTTCATTTATGATACATGAGGCTTAACATATTACCAAAGTTTACAATTTTATTTCTAGTTGATGTCAAAATTAAATGTTACTTATTAGGATATCAGTGTATGTGTTTTTCCTATAAAAGATTATGCATGGTATGAGTATATATTCTACAAATAATAGAGATGGTTTCTTCCATGTTTTCTATTTTTGAGAATTATAATTTGTTTCTTATGTAATGTTTAAATATATAGATGAATTTAAATATCTCAAATATACTTGATATTGCTAAGAATTTGTGTTCATTTTGATCTCTGATATTCAAAATGTCAGAACTCATTATCAACAATACTTTGCCATTGTATAGAAAGGAAAATTTGTTCTTGTCTTGTCTCTCTTTTTCAGTAACATCTTCAAGGGGTCAGCTGTGTGTATGTACAGCATGAGTGATGTGAGAAGGGTGTTCCTTGGTCCCTATGCTCACAGGGATGGTCCCAACTACCAGTGGGTGCCTTATCAAGGAAGAGTCCCCTACCCACGACCAGGAACTGTAAGTGGCCCAGATGCTTAAAATATAAAAAGAGTAAATGTCTGCTTAAAATTTTAAAATAGCAGCTATACCCAGATATTCAATGCAGATTATGTAAAAGCAGGATTCCCAGACTATAAATGAAAGCAAGGAAAGAGTTTCTGTGATACAATGGAACTCCATATTTAAAACAATTTTTTAATGCTTAGTCAGTGTTTACCAGTTATTAATACCCATCATCTTAGAGTAATAGAAACTGAATGGACAGGCTTATTTATTTCATTTTCAGAATGGAATATAGTGAAAATGGCCTTCATGTAGAGTTGAAATAATTAGGTTACACCTGGAATAATTCTCTCTGATCATAGCAGAGGCTTAAATGGAGGAAAACAGTTTTTTTAACTAATATTTTAGGAAAAGAAAATATGTGAAAAAAATCTCAGAGAATGAGAAGGACCGTTACTTTCTGAGGTGCTGTTTGCATCACCATACTCTCCTTTACCATCCAGAAGCCCTGGGCATACACAGGCTTTAAAAAAAAATGGACAGAACTCAAAATATAACCAGCTTTTAATCTTATTTACAGTAAGGATAAAAAAGAAAAGACTTCAGATGGTATAAAATGAGTGAAGTCGTTCTCATTATGATAGCAGAAGTAATAGAATATTTTTATAGAACCATTCACTTAAGTGTGACTTTTTAATCCTAAGAACCATTAAAGAAGTAATTTTATGGGATGAAAAAAACTTGCATTTGAAGTCTAACCACTACTTTTATTTCACTTAATTTTTTTTTAATTCTGTTAAACTTAAGTAAGTTATGTTTTCTATGATTTTATTAGGCATAATTTATTTTAATAGTCTTATATTTCTGTATTGCCAAAGTTATTTATGAGTCAATTAAAAATTTCCCATTTTACAAATATTACTTCTGACTGATGGAGTTTGTAGATAAAAATAAATAAATAAGCTTATAGAAGAATAAATGAACAAGATAGAATATCTATGATTATGTGATGCCCAAAAGGTTTTATAAAGAGCACAAGATATTTACTCTATTTCTTAATAGTAAACTGCCTTTACTTTTTTGGTGAACATTTTTATATCCCTATGGCTATTTATATCTCTATGGCTAATGAATGCCACTGTATTCTAAATACAAATTCTGGTGAGGTTCACTTTAACAAACTTGGAATTACTTCAATGTGCTAGATATTATGCTACTATTTGGAGTTTCAAAGTATTTGATCTGAAGATGTCTAAAATATATTTGGAATTAAAAACAGTAATTAGAAATTACTGCCAGATTCTGTTTAAAGAGATTTATACCTATTAATATACTAGAGACCCAGTGCACAGGATTCATGCATTGGGGGGAGAGGGAGAGGCCTCAGCCCTGCCTGTACCCTCTTGCAGTCTAGGACCCCTCAAGGTATGTCTGACTGCCAGCCTAGGCCTGATCCCCAGGAATTGGGCCTAAGCCGGCAGAAAGACATCCCTCTTGTAGTCTGAGACCAATAACTCCTTACCGCCTGCCACCATTTCTGAGCTCACCAGCCTTGAGCCCAGCTCGCTGCTCCTTAGCATTGACTCTGAGGTGAGAGAGGACATTGCCATTGGGTTCACCAGACGTGAGTCTAGCTTCTGGCTGAGCAGCACTCCCCTGTGCACTGACCACCAGGGGACAGCTCCTGAGTTGAGCATCTGTCGCCTGGTGGTCAGTGCATGTCATAGTGACCGGTTGTCCCACCATCTGGTCGATTTACATATTACACTTTTATTATATAGGATATTGTACTCAATAGCCCAGTTATTGTTCCTATTTCACAGACGAGGACTCTGAGGCAAGGATATGATCTAGGATGCAGTTCAGGCAGTTTGGTTCTAGAGCCTGTGTTCTCACCCAGTATTCATAGAGAGTTGTTAGAACATGGGAAATTAAGTCAGCAATATGCACCAAGTGCTAAAGGCAGAAGGCAGAAAGGATTGCCTGACATAGGAATTAGGAGGAGAAATACTAACTCCATGAATAAAATTTACTTGGATGAGTTCATTAATCCCAAAAGGTGGCAGCTGAGAATTTGTCATTTCATTATATTACTGGTGAAAATATTCTGTGACATTTAAATAATGTGTCAGTAGATGATATTTATTGTTGTGTGTGTGTGTGTGTGTGTGTGTGTGTGTGTATATATATTTTAATTTTTACCCAAGGATATGTTTTTTTAGTGATGAGAGAAAGAGAGAGGGAGGCGTGCCTTTTCAACGCACCCTGACAGGGAAAAAACTTAAAACTTGGGTATGTGTATTGACCTGGATTTGAACCAGCAACCTTTCAATTCTCCAGATGACGCTCTAACCAACTGAGTCTCACCAGCCATGGTAGATGGCATTTATTTTTAAAGGAAAACCTATAACTAAGTAATGCTAGGTACAAAAATAAAAGTCTAGAAAGGCAAAAGAATGACACAGATATGGGATAAAATAAAAATAAATTCTTTTCTGTAACTTTAATCACACATTTCTAAATTTTTGCAGGCTATATTTAAATGGTCATAGAAAAGCAAAATATAATGGAAAATGTTATAAAATATGTTTATCGTTTCTTCTAAGAATTTATAGAACTTTTTTATATTTCTATAATATAAAATAAGTAATTTTATAATTTACTTAAACAAAAAGTAATTCCTTAAATCCTTTAACTTTTACACTGGTATGTATGTGTGTATATATACTGCATATATATATCTCAAATGTATACATACATATATGTATATAAATGCATACTCTTTTTCCAAAACAGGTTTATTTTATTTCTCATGAATTATTAATGATATACAGTAAGGTAATACAGACACTTGATTTCTTCTTCTTAGTCTCTTGTTAGAACTTCTCTATATTCCTTTTAGCTCCAAAGCTGTTACATTAAGTGGCAGAAATTACTTAAGTGGAAGACAAAAAGCATGAGACTGGAGATATTGTACTCTGAGTGCTTGTACCACATAATGAAATAAGAGATTGTGAAATCTGAATTTTCTCATTTTTGGTTTATTGCTTTCTGTGGAGCATTTATATCCAGAGATGGTATTTTGCCAGTGTACTACAGTGCATCCTTTCTGACTCGTATGGCCCACATTTACTCTATTTGGTCCATTCTGATTGGCCAGTTTCAGTCCCTGCAGTTTAAACATTTAATAACATTTATCCCTAAACTAACTTTTTAGAGATAGTACTTTTGATATGTTTTGTGGTTCCTTTTCAGAGTTATGCCAGAAACAATGCAATAAAAAATAGTTTATATTGGCTTTTAGTTTGAAAAGACCATTTGTATGTTGGCATATACATGCAATAAAAATCAAATATATCTTACAACATTATTCTGAATCAAATATATCTAAAAAAAAGTTATGCTGAATGTCTCTAACATGTAACTTTAATATATTCCATTCACTACTCCAAACACTTCATGTATTACATAAATAAGATGTATGGTGTTGCTACTAATAGAGGCATCAGATCTTTCATACATTGATTTTATTAGATGCATTTGCAATTTTTGGTAAGAAATGGTGACATTAACTCAATCCCATTGAGATTTAAGATATGTTTAGGAAATACATAGTATATATTACATCTACTAACCTAATTAACATGATTTCTTTTACTTAAAAAATGATCAGAGGTTTAGATTTCCAGGCCATTATATCATGTAGTAGAGGCCCAGCACACAAAACCGATACATAACTATAGCCCCTAAGCTTGGCCTAGGATTAGGGCCATCTTCCTCTGCTGCAGGCAGCCAATCCCACCCCCACCGCCACCTACCCCCCACTACCACCATTTCCCCGTTCTCCATCGGGTGATCAGAGCCTGCTAGCCCGGGAGAGGGACCAAGAGGTTGGCTGTTCCCACTCAGCCCTGCCCCCTGCTGCTGGTCACCATCTGTGTGGGGAGTGGCTGGTTGGACAGGGGCCTTGGTATGGCGCCACCAACATCTGCTGCCAACCACCCTAGTTCCCCATGTCCTGTTGGCTGATGAGAGCCAGTCTGCTGAGGAAAGGGACTGAGAGGTTGGCTTGCCGGCCTTGATCAGGCATTCAGAGCCTGCAGGCTGGGGGCAGCTCCTGCATTGAGCATCTGCCCCCTGATGGTCAGTGCACATCATATTGACCTGTGGTTCTGCCATTTGGTAGATATGCATATTAGCCTTTTATTATATAAGATTATTATACTAGTGCTCCAATGCACATGTATATTGAAAAAATATTAATTAGTAGGTGGCTGGTAGGGTGGGACTGAGCAAGAAGGGCCAAACACTCTCTGGAGCCAACCTCCCAAGGTCCTTCCCCAGCTGGCTGCACCTGGGGCAGTGCTGCAAATCTAAGGGTGTCTGCAGAGTGAGCAGGATCCCTTCAACAGGTGGGGTCCCTCAGCCTGGCCTGTGGGGATCGGGCCTAAAATGGCATCACCCTGCATCACCCTGGCATCATTCTGGCATCACCCTGCATTGAAGCATCTGCCCCCTAATAGTCATCACATGTCATAGCTACCAGTTGGATAGTCACTTAGCCATATATATATATATATATATATATATATATATATACACTAGTAGCCCAGTGCACAAAATTCGTGCATGGAGAGGGGTTCCCTCAGCCCAGCCTGCACCCTCTCCAATTGGGGAGCCCCTGAGGATGTCCAACTGCCAGCAGTCGAACATCCCTCTCACAGTCTGTGACTGTTGGCTCCTAACCACTCACCTGCCTGCCTGCCTGATCACTCCTAACCTCTCTGCCTACCTACCTGATCACCCCTAACTGCCCTCCCCTGCCAGCTTGATCTCATCCCCAACTGCCTCTGCCTACCTGATCATCCTTAACTGCCCTCCTCTGTTAGCCTGATCTCACCCCCAACTGCCCTCCCCTGCCAGTCTGATTTTGCCCCCAACTGCCCTCCCCTGCCAGCCTAATTGCCCTTAACTGCCCTTCTGCCAGCCTGATCTTACCCCCAACTGACCTTCCCTGCCGGCCAATTTGGTTTTGATTGGTCTGTTTCTATGCCAGTCAGCTTCTCTGGGCCTATCTCTGGGCCTGATCAAAGAGGTGGAGGCTCAGAGAGAAACAGAGGTGTGACTGCTGGTGAAGCTTGAAGAGTAAGAGGGAGGCAACTGCTGATCAACAGCTGCCACAGAAGCTGTGGATCAGACCCTGCCTCACTCTTCAGGCCTCCCTCTGGGCCTGATCCACTGCTGCCTCAGCACTCAGTGCTTAGTCTCTGTGCCCACCCTGGAGGCAGTCAATGCTGGGTCGCCTAGGCAACCTAGCACTGACTGCAGGACTGACTTCCGGTCAGTCAAGCCTTCAGTCATTTTGGACGTTACGGACCCTGGGTTTTTTATGTATTAGGACTACAGACCCAATGCATGAAATTTGTACAAGAGGCTTGGCTCTCGCAGTCGCAGCCAGGGCTTCATCTGGAAGGTCATCTGGAAAGCCGTTGGAAGATTGTCTAGTGCCGGGTCTAATTAACATATTATGCTTTTATTACTATAGATAGATAATTTATAATCATGTTAACTATATTTTAATCAAAATATCCCTTCTCTTTATCTTATCAGTGTCCCAGCAAAACATTTGGTGGATTTGACTCTACCAAAGACCTTCCTGATGATGTTATAACATTTGCAAGAAGTCATCCAGCCATGTACAATCCAGTGTTTCCTATTAATAACCGCCCAGTAATGGTCAAAACAGATGTAAATTATCAGTTTACACAAATTGTAGTGGATCGAGTGGATGCAGAAGATGGCCAGTATGATGTCATGTTTATTGGAACAGGTAAATATTTGACTTCAGCTCTAAATTTCCTTCAAGACCATTGAATTCAACTGATTAAATCTACTGAGAATCAAAGGAAGTTTTAATAGTCATTTTCAAAGTATGGTTAAATGTTAATAAATGACTAAAAAACCTGAACATTCTATTGTTATAATGTATTATCTTTATAAGCCATTTGACATATATTAAATTCAATTTTTGTTTCAATCAAAAGTTGATAAGTATAATCAGGTAAAGCTAATGATTAGGTAAATAATCAATATGCATAACTGAGTCATAACTCTTTCTGGACAGTGGCGATTTAGAACAAAGATGTATTGCTCAAACCATATTATTAATTACCAAGACATTAAGTGATGGTTTCTGAATTAATTGATGCAAAATTATCCAAACTTTAAAAATGCCAAATAGTGCAAATCTCCCAGGAAATAAATTTGGGTAACAAAACTTGTTCAGTGTTTTTACCATTCAACGGGGATAAAAAACACTCTATCAGAAAAACAACAAAATGGAGTTATAGGATCATCACATACATTTTTAGATACATTTCTATAGCAATCCAAAAACATAATTTTAATACTTCTATGATTAGAGAACAAATTTTTGCAGGCATATTTTCAGAAAGATTTCCATTGCTAGTATGAAATATTATTTTATTTTCCCCTACTTTCTTTAATAATACTTTTTTCAAAGTGCCAGTTACAAATTTGAAACTATCTACTCAGGGTCAAGTTCCAGGGTAATAAATTCCTGGTCTCCATTAGCATTGTTAACTGACATAAATCAATGGGAAAGAGGATGAGTGCTCCACTGAAACCTTGTATAATAACATTTATTTTCCCTTGGTGAGAAACAGGTTAAAAATTGCGTTAACTACAGGGGAATGACAACCTTGGAGTAAGTGCTTTAATGACTTAAAGTTTTATAACAAAATTGTGAAATACCTGTGTTATCAGGTGTAACAGTGTCAGGTTCTGAGCAATACATTACAGTCTACTATTACGACTGAGAAAGTTTCTATATCAAATGACAGAATCCCAGTGACACTCAATGTTCAATAAAAGTCAATGAATTGCAAATATCAACTTCTGATGATAAATACGTTTAGAAATTATAAGATAATATGACTTCTTTTTAATAAATTTTAGTTTATTATTTAATCTCAAATTATAATTAGATCTCTCTACAGAGTAATTCATTTTGTTCACTAATGTCACACTTGCCTTTTTTTTCCCCTCTGGCCTAAGCATGTAGAGAAGTCTCTCACCCACTGTCAGTTCAACAAAAGCTTGCTTTCAGCTATTTGACCAAAGAAACCCAATCATGAGTTTTTAATTCTACTTGGACACATGCTGCCCTTAAAGGAACCAGTTTCATGAGCATGTTGAATGTCTGATGATGTGGATGGCTATCGGTCAGCAAAGACCTGGGTCATCTGTCAGCAAAGTAAATTGATTACAGTAATTTTATCTTTTAACTAAGTAGCACATCATAATGTATTGATCCTGGTTAAGTAATCTGATTCAGTTTGTGTGAAATTGTTTGAAATACTACTCGGTAAAACTAGATCTGGAACACAGATAAAGTGATGTTTGGATACTGGAGACCCATCAGAGGCACTAAGTAGTTTAACCTGACTTACCTTTAATCTTTGGTATTATAAGGAGTCTAAGGTCCTGTAAACATAGAAGGATCTTCTTAAAAGAAGATTTTTTTTTTAACTTTACAAGGGATACACTAGCAACCTTTTTTGATCTCATATATCACATCATATTGATCCCCTGAAAATGGTTATCAGTGATATGAATACATTGAATTTTTTTCCTGTCTTAACTTATTTTTTACTGACAAGATTTTCTTCTCAAATAATGAGGCTTTAAACTTTAAACTTGATTAAATTGAACCAGTTGAAACTAAGTATACTTGATCAGCTGATTAGAATTGAAATGTTGAAGAGTCAATTTTTTTAATTTAATAATCCCCTGTTCTTCATTTTATCAAGAAATAGGAATGTGCCTGTAAATAGTGGAAAATGAATATCTGCTTAACCCAACTTAGAATAAAAGTGACAGCTCTTGTCATTAGAATAATTTTAAAATTAGAGTAAACAATGCTTGAAATCTATCTAAAATGTATTCAACTTAATCATTTTTTATGACTTATGCTTCTGAATTTTAAATTATTTAGTACTGTAAATTTTATTAATCAAAATGTTAACCAAAATTGATTAACCAATTATTGGGGGGGGGGGGAAACAAAACAAAAAAACACTGCAGTAAGTAATTCAAGGTGTTCATTTGGAGAAATAAAGTTGTCATTCATCACTTATTGGTTGTTGAGCTGTGTGTAGGGGCCTCTAAGTACGATAGGCTTTCAGGTTACAAGAGCATGAGCAGTCAGGCTCTGAAGCTCTAACCACTCAACAATTATTTGTTGCTTGACAACATTTCTGGATTTTTGAAACTTCATTAAATCTTCATAGTAGTCCCTGATTTCATAACAAAAGTGGAAAAACCTGACATTTCAAAGCTGGTATTATTTTTGTTGTATTTTTTTTTTCTGAGACACCTGACAATTGAGATTAAAAAGAATAATAATCCAACTCAGTAATTATTATATGTGCTTTTAATTACACAAGTTCAGGGTGATATCATCTTCAAAGTTTCATTTATTACTAAAAAAAGTTGATTCTTTTAGTTCCATGCTATGTTTTTAGTTTATCTAATTGCATGAAATGCATATGAATATTTTAATAATCCTATAACAAAACAAAAAAATAAATAAATAAAAGGAAGACTAAGCTCAAATTGTTCTTTCTGGTCAAATGCTGAATCCATTCATTAACACCAAACTCTGTTGAGGTCTATTTAGATTGTGCTCTTCTCCATTTTTTCTCAAAGATGTCGGAACTATTCTTAAAGTGGTTTCAATTCCAAAAGAGACTTGGCATGATTTAGAAGAAGTTCTGCTGGAAGAAATGGCAGTTTTTCGGGTGAGTGCTGCTTAATTTCAAGTGTTAACAAGTTCATTCGTATGTCTTTCCCTGAGGACAGCTGCACACTAAACTTGGTATAGACAAGAAGTCTAGCATACCCTTCTAATTAGCTTGTCAATTGGAAAGCCAGACACTAGTCAAAATAAACCTTGAAATTTTCAATGCTAGTAAAATCTAAAAATGTAGAGAAATGTATTCTTGGCTCATATTTTATTTTCTCAATGATAATATATATGATTTACATTGTATATTATTTTCGTAAGTTACCTCAATGACCAAGCTTCATGAGTCCCCACCTCCAAAATCTTTTCTTTCAAACTTTACAGTATAACTGGGATGATAGGTAACTTCCATGAATCTATTAAGGGAAATACTTTCAGAATGATAGGGGCATGAACACATTTAACAATTCTGCAACTTTTTAATGAATTGTTTTATCATCAGATTTTCTTTATAAAATTATTTCTAAGAAGAAAAGTTGTAATACTTTTATATCACTAGTGGTAAATTTGTCATGGATTCCTACCCTACACTTTTGAGAAATGTACAGATATTTGTCCCTCTGTCTTGAATCACAGAAGGTCAGGGCAAGTTAACATAAGATTGGGTCTGGGTCTGGAGTGCAGGTGAACCAGATTTGGGGCTGACAGGGCCCCAGCAGCAATGTCTGGGTCAGTGCACGTCATAGCTACCGGCCGATCATCTGGTCATTCCGGCCATTCAGTAGTAAAGGTCACTTAGGCTTTTCTATATAGAAAGAGATTCACTGTACACAAATATATTCTACTTACCATGATTCTGGCACAAATTTAAACTCAGAGTTGAATGCAAAAAACATGGTTCTGCTCTATTTTTTTTAAGTATATTTTATTGATATTTTACAGAGAGAAAGGGAGAGGAATAAAGAGTTAAAAACATTAAGAAACATCGATCAGCTGCCTCCTGCACACTCCCTCCTGGGTATGTGCCTGCAAACAGGGTACATGCCCTTGACCAGAATCGAACCTGGGATCCTTCAGTCTCAGGTCTACACTCTATCCACTGAGCCAAACCCGTTAGGGCATGGTCCATGATCTTATACAGCTTACAGACTCTTACATGTTATCCATCATAATTTCAAGGACTTAATTTATTATCTATTATTACAGTTAAGTTTTTTCTCATATAATTGTGTCAATTCATATCATGCAATTTAAAAATTAATATTTGTTTTATTAATTAATTATATTATGGGATTTTATGAATCAGAACATGTATAATTTTACAATAATAGTATATTCTAGCTAATTTATATCCCCCATTTCTCTGGAATTTTAAATTTATATTTTTCTTCTTAGGTACATTTTTTAGAAAATTAATAAAAATTCAGTTTAATAAAGATTATTTTATTCTGATTTTAAATGACTGCTAACAAAATCTTGAGTGGTTACAAACACATATGTTTATATCTATTAGATTTGTTACTAGCATGTTGCAATTTCCAGAGAAATACATAACTGAGTTATACCTATGATAACCTTTAAATGACATTTGTGTAGTTTTTAAGATATCACAAGAAAATTTATTTATCAGTCTAACAATTAAATATAAATAAGTAATATAGTGCAGGCATGGAAACAAGTATTTATGCATTTATAATTTTACAAAAAGATTGTTTGCAACATAAAATAGATCTTTCATAGATAAATGTTCCAGTTCACTTCTATGTTCTCTGCTCTGCATTATTGTCATTATTATTTCTTTAGTCCTCAAGTAGACAAAAACACATTGGGGCAGAGTTTAGAGAAATATTTACTTTCAACATTCTGTTCTATCAGGCAAAGTTCATACATATATTGTGGTCTAGCAATTGGAATATTTCACTGTCAAACTTTGTTTAATTTTGCAATGGGAGAAAAAAACACAACCCATTAAAGCAATTGCTATACATAGTGAAAAAAGCAGAAAAATGTTACAGTCTCTCTATTTTTAAGTGAACCTTATGAATCATTCTATTTAACATAAAATAAAATTTAAAAAGGTTAACCTGAGCAAGGTGGTAGTTTGACAAGGTAAATAGACAAGGCACAAATTTAGAGTGATAATAGTATCTGATACTCATGGACTTAAAAAAAAAAGATATTTAATGTCATCAAACCAGTTAATTTTACCATAATTTCTGCAGGAGACCATATTAATTATGTGCCCTTGCTAGGCTGAATAACCAAATCTCAAATGAAATCCTGAATTAGAGCCAGTACTATGTCCATTACCATCTTGAGGGTGGTGTTAGGAAAACACCCTAGCTAATCACAGAACATTTCAGTGGATTCAGTTACACCCAAGATACTTTTATTTGGGTGACATCACATCCCAATCAGAGTATAGAAAAAAATATTTTTCTATAATAACATTTCCACTTCAGAGTAAAATTTTAATGGGTAGTAAGAAGTGAAATAAATATGGCATTGTTATAAAACTCTAGAAATGACTTTGAATTGTCATTACATATTCAGAATGACATTAAAATACTAAGACAAACTTAATTCCAAATATTATTGTAATCACAAATCTATATTTATATATTTACTATATGATCCTAGGAAAATGCTGGTTACAGTCAGTTGATCCTCAACTTCTTCAGTTCATAATTTTAAAGCATTTTTTAATTATGACTATTTATTATGCTAAGTGAATTAAGCCAATCTGAGAAAGACAAATATCACATGATCTCATTTGTGGAATCTAATGAACAAAATGAATTGACCAACAAAATAAGACCTGAAGCATAGGGGTATAGAACAGACTGACATACCTCCATATTGGGGTGGGGGGACGAAGAGAGATAAACCAAAGGACATATCCTATATAATAAAAGGCTAATATACAAATAGACCTAATGGCAGAACTGACCAACCGATTGCTATGATGTGCACTGACCACCAGGGGGTGCATGCAGAATATGGCAGGTGTCTGCAGCAGACAGCAGAGTGGGGAACATGGCAGGTAGTGGCCATAGGGGATGGTGGAGCTGCTGAGTGGGGGTGCCAGACCAAGGTGGGGCACCAGTTGCTGTCAGTAGGGCGAGCCTCTGGTGGTTACTGAAAATTCTTTGCTCCCGTATGCCAGGGTACCACCTGGTGCTCACCCCTGCTGCTGGTAATGGCTCTGCTCTCACCTCAGCTGGTGCCAGAGTCGCTGCTCGCACCTGCTGCCAGCACCCTGCACTGGCCCTGATCACCCCTGAGGGCTTCTCTACCTCCCCCTGCTCCTGAGGGGCAATAAGGGCAGCAGCCACTGCTCACATCCACTGACCATGACAGAACCAAACCCACTGCTTGCACCAGCCCCAATCACTCAGCACTGTCAGAGGGTGCCAGTGGGGCCAGTGTCAACAAGTGCATGGGAGTGGTGGCAACAGGAGTGGGGCTGCTGGAAGACCGGGGGCCTGAGGCACGGAGGATGGGCCAAGACCTGCCCTGTGCCCACTGCAGTCTCACAGCCCACAGTTCATTTCAAGGTGTACAAATTTGTGCATTGGGCCCCTAGCATACTTATATGTATCACCCATGGGCATGGGCAGTAGGGTGGTGAGGACTTGGAGCAGGGGCATAGGGGCTGGGTAGCGGGGAGTAAAAGGAGGGGAAATGGGAGACATCTGTAATATTGTCAACAACAAAATATATAAAGAAGGAAAATTAAGATTACCAGTAAATGGTAGCTATTGTTAACTAGTTAGACCAATAAACATCTCCTTTAAAATGCTTGGAAATTCCACATCTATATCTCATTACAAGTATTCAAAAGGAATAAAAGCCAGACATATTTAGATTTTTTATTTCACTCAAGGTGGGATTTTCACTCGAGGGTTTTACTTTTGAGACATTGAAGGATTACATCAAGTTGCAGTACTTTAGGGCAATGGGTTTATTTATAGTCCTATTAACTGCGAGGGATTGGAAGGCCATTACATCAATAACACATGCACTTTAAACCTAACGTATGCAATATTCCATGAACAGCTGAACAAGTAAATGAAAGAGTTTTCATTTTCATTCAAATGTAAAACATAACCGATGCTTTCCAAAACCTAGATTATTAATTTATTCTAAAGGAGTGCCCAAGTGTTTAACATCCTGGGAGCTATGTCAGATTCTCCTAGGATCAGCAAGTTGAAAAGCTATGCAAATGCAAAAGTTTAATAAGTTCTAGATTAAAATACCTAAATATATATATATATATATATATATAGTGAATTACAGTCATGGAAAACCTTGAAAAGATGCTTTTTAAATATAATTTCACCTGAATACCAATTGGATTTGCTAATGAACCAGTTTGCATGAAAAAATGCTTATGAAACTATTTTTGATTTAAATGGAAATCATATTCTCCACCAGCTATTTCTCAGATCAAAATATAGCTTATTTAAATGGATGCCGTCTTAATATTTTATTTATCCAAATTCAACTAAGGCAGCATATAGTACATCTTATTCCAAACTGTTATTAATTTTCTAGTCTGAAAAATAAATAAGGTTCTTTTAATTAAGGGATTTTGAGATATTAATTTAAGAATGTTGAAATCATAATGTGTCACAATGTGAGTTTGGTGTGGATTGAGATTTGTTTTGTTTTACAATTTATGTATGAAACAATTCATTTTCATCTCCCTTGTGGATATGTAATTCAATGACCATGAAATTAATGTTAATCAGCTTCACTTTTAGATAGTTTTACTTAAGATTTTCAAAGAACTTAGATATATCTAACTTTTACTTCAATTAGAGTAAACTGTTAGTACTTCTTTAAGAAATTTTTCTTGCATCTTGAAAGTCTGCTTGAAATCAGCTGCTTACAAAATCACATAGTCATTTCTCCTGTGAAACTTTTGTAATTAAAAAGGTTACTATGGAACATGTTTCTTTTTAACACTTCTAAATTCAGTGTTTGGGTTCATTGATTTTGATATTATACAAAACTAAATAATGTAGTCAACTTTGTCTTCTATAAGGTGATAATCAATGATGAATTGTCTCCTTAATTTTTGTGATTTGATGCTACTATAAATTTTAAAGATCCTATCACTGAATAGAGAAAATTGATAAACATTTCTCTCATCATAGTTGTCTTTATGGTTTATGATTCCTATAGAAAAAAATTTATTTTTAATATAATTAATTTAAACTATGGGGAATCTTTAAATTATCCTAATAAAATTAGTTTACATTCTAAATCATTTATCTCATGTATTTCTCTAGCGGTTGTCTTTTGTTTAGTTACTTTATTTTATCTTATTTTGAGAGTATGTTTATTAAAGTTTGAGACAGTGAAACAAGGAAGGGCTTAGGGCAGAAGAAGCAACAGGAGAGAGCCTGCTTTGGCTCTCTGGGAAGTCAGAAAAAAAGGGGGGATTTGGAGAAAGGTTCAGGGTATTAGGCCAGGACGAGCTGCTGCTACTCATTGCTCTCCTGGTTGTAAGTCTCCTGGGGACCCTCAGAGTTTAGGAGATGCATGCCTGTGGGGAAAGAAGAGGGGAAGGGAAAGGCACGAGCATGCTATAGGGAGGGAGAGGAAGTGCTGGGTTCTCTTTCTTGAGGGTTTTAAAGTCCTGGGATTTAGGGAAGGCATTAAGGGAGGATCTCAATAGAAAATACATCAGCTTTATGTTGATGTGCCAACATGAGGTTTATTGGCTTGACTTCATCTGTCTTTGGGTGTGGTTGGCATAAGTGCTACTAATTGGATTTCTGCTATCCATCTCCCTGAGTAGGATTAACACCAAAATATTAGGTTTCTGAGTCCGAGTTCGTTGTCTTGCAAAATCGGAGACTAAAATTGTGTTAGTGGAACCGAAGTTTATTGAAAGGAGCCAGTCCTAGAAATGGTGTAGCTTGGGTTCCAGGACCAGCCCCATGTCCAGGGCTTCCTTCCCAAGTTACAGTTGGGGGTAGTTCAGCATTAAATTAAAGTCTAATCGTCCATGTGTGGGGGCCCTCATAGCCATAAGCCACGTGGGCACAGGGGTGCACATCTCCTGCCATCAATCCAAGAACCGAGCATGGGAGAGAGAGAGAGAGAGAGAGAGAGAGAAAGCATGCTTGCTTTTTTATATACTCTATATGCTTGTTATTTCATGACTAGTCCTTTCAAAGAATCTTGCCTTTGCAAATTCCTTGAGATTGGTTTGTAAGCCTCACTCCTTGTGATTGGTTGTCAGCAAGCTTCCTGTCTTAGCAACATTAAACATTTTAAAGCTGGTGTCTCCCTTACGCACCCTTCCTTCCCTGCCCAGTTGGGGTGCCTTAGTAACTTTGCCTACTTGGATTTTTTGTTTTATTTCCTCCTCCTCCTCCCCCCATGGTCCCTGTTCCTGTCTACTTAGCTTCCATCTGTCTCCTTGGGATGATTTAAGCTATTTACACTCTGGTTGGGGAGGAGAAATGTAAACCATTTACTCTTAAGTATCCTTGTTATGAAGATAGGATTTTTTCTATTTATTAGATGCCTGTAAACTACTTGGGTGTTTAACTATCATTCTCAGTTTCCCTAACCTACTTGCCCTGGTTTACTAGCATGTCTCATTTCCCCCTTAGAAATGTCCATCCATTAAATTTTTTAGGAAAGTATCTTATGGCTGATGAGGGAGGACAGTATGTCTTCATTAACTGCTTCCTGTTGACAGGGGCTATGGGCCCTGCCTATACAGGATGTGGAAGTCTCTCCCTGCATGATCTAAAAGGGACAATGGAAGGGGATCCAGGACTGGAACAGAGAGATCATTAGCTGATTCTTCCAAAGTAGGAATGGACTGGAATTCCCTAAGCACATCCACTTGATATGAAATCGCTGTATCATTCCAGAAGCAAAGTTGGTAGATTGGTTCATATTTTGTTGACTCAATTATGTAGTCCTGAAAAATAAATCAATTCAATTAAATCGTTGAGCATCGTTTCAGGAAGTGGTGATGCAGATGGGCTCCCAAAGTGACATCTATATGGTATAAACAAGAAATCAGGTGTTTAATAAGGGGCGTGCCTATGAAACCTAAGAAAAAACAAAGTTTAGTGGTCACATACATTTTAAATCAGTTTCTGAGTCTGTAAGACTGTCAGCTAGAAGACTTTTAGATGAAAGGATCAAATTTTTCTTTTCTAGAATGGAAGCAAGCAGTGTACAGTCTGATAAATCCTCCTTTCCTGCAGTTTGAATATCTCTGGTGATATACATTCTGCACCGTGTACAGAGGATCAGTCACTAAGATTGTTTAAGTACAAGCTGTTGTGATGGTTTCTCAAGGTTTTATCAAGTACTTTAGCTGTAATTTGCAAGTGCAAAGCTCAGGGGGAAAAAAAAGTTTAGTTCTCAATAATTCCAAATCAAAGGATGGGAGAAAACTGAAACATTAGCTAGAAGAAATAAGTGGTCAATAATGCCATCTAAACAAAGCCCAGAAATAATAAGACAGACTGAAAGTGTACATTCAGCAGATCCGTTCTCTGGTGATTTCTGTATTTGAGGGTGTTAGGCAACCTCTCTAGAGTAAGGACAAGGCTCAGTGGGCCAAAGGATGACTGGCACTGAATGGGATATGAGCAAATAAAGACTGTGAGTGTAGAATATTTTTAAAGAAATTCTAGCTAAGATTGAAGAATTAAGGACTTTATTTTTAATTTTTATCTTATTTTTAAGGAGTATTTTATAGATTTTTAGAGAGAGAAGAAGAGAAAAGAGAGAAACATAAAGGAAAGAGGGTAAGATCAATCAGCTGCCTCCTGTATGCTCCCTACCAGGAAGGTGGGTGCATGTGCTCTGACTGGGAATCAAACCAGCAGTGCATGGGATGATGTCCAACCAACTAAGCCATACTAGCCAGGGCAGAATTAAGGACTTTTTCAATGATAGCTGCCTTTATTTCATATACAAATTCAGTGGAAGGAACAGACTATACTTGGCAAAAATAGAAAATATTTTTAAAAAGAGAAAATTAGAGGATTTATTCATTAATTTACTTATTCATTTATTCAACAAATACTTATGGAAAACTTATAAATACCAGGAACTATCCCAGGTGCTAGAGATATGGCCATGAATAAAATAAAAATTCCTGTCCTAAATGTGTGTGTTGGGGTGGAGTGTTGGGGTTGAAGGGGCAAACAAACAACTAAGAAGACATATTAGATGCTCTGCTGACCCTCCTCACATCCTATCAGCCTACCTCTAATTCCCACTGTGTGTCTTTCTCTTTCTGCCTCAGGACTTCTCTGACAGCAGGCAAAAGGGCAAGCAAGAGTCACAACTGGGAGTGTGGGAGATTTAGCATCCCTGTGGGCGTCCACTGAGTAATGGAATGAATAAATACTTGTCCTGGTACAAACCTCAGTGGACAGTTTTGGCAGTCACTGTCCATTATTCTTAGATTTTTCTCTCAGTGGTAACTTCAATGGCATCCTTTTATTGATTTTTCCTCCTTCCTCTCAATTCTTAATTCTTCACTCCTACTCTCCACCTGCAGATAAGAGCTTACCTCAGATTCTGCTTTGGGAGGTTGGGGAGAACTCGTATGTATTTCCTGATAGTAATAAACACTAAATAGAAAGGCTAAAGCAAGAAAAGTGTGTGTGTGTGTGTGTGTGTGTGTGTGTGTGTGTGTGTGTGTGTGTGTGTGTGTGAGAGAGAGAGAGAGAGAGAGAGAGAGAGAGAGAGAGAGAGAGAGACAGACAGAGAGACAGACAGAGAGACAGAGAGAGAGAGAAACAAGCACATTTGCAAAGTGCCTTTACATTTATTAACTCATTTAATCTCCTCAACCACCCTCACAGATGAGAAAACTGAATTACAAAGAAGTTATGTAGCTCACCTAGTATCACAGGTATGGCCAGGTTTGAGTGACTGCTGGAATCCATGCTGTTTGTTTAGTTCCAGAGTTCAGCTCTTTATACTTTGTTTCAGCCACCTACACAGGGAGGCCTTTTAAAATTATTCTTCCTACCTAACAAAGCCCTGTTCTCATTAAACACCTCTGAAACCTCTAAGCAGTCTCTTTCTTAGCATTGCAAGGAATAAGCTAATGAGTTCAGATGAATAACCTTTTGGTGGTGTAAGTACATAAAAGAAGAGTATTTATTTATGCTTAACTACATGTGTTCAAATCACCCAATACAAGCCCCAAAGAGATAAACCTTTCCAACACTTAACTGCGAAGTTCCCTGGCATCCTTCACTGTGGTGAATAATAAGCCCAACTTGGTAGGCTTCTGAGCTCCTACAGTCCCCCAAAGGCTGGAAACTAGCCTCACATTATCAGTTCATCATTGATGTTGTTAGGAGTTGGCCTGGCACTTTCAGCCAGGCCATGGTGTTCTCCAGTTGAACGTACACATTTCCAGAGAACACCAACAACAGACAGGGTCACTCTGAGACCCTGATGAGTCAAGAGGAAAACAAGACCTTCCTGAAATTATACTTGAACATACACAAGAATACAAACAGTATCCAAACCATGAAAGATGACCAAATCGCATATCCTACCTACATGAATGACCGCTACTTGTTTCCAGCCACTGCTTTATCCTCACTGGGTTCTTCCCTCCTTCTAAATAAGATTTATAAAGATACCCAACTATAGAATTACCTCTGCTTTTTTATAGCATCTCAGTAAGTCATTTCATTGCTTACTGAGCATTCCATGGCATCCTTTATTACAGTGAGCAGTAAACCCAGCTTGATAAACTATAGGTGTGTTCCCAATGGTCTTGAGCTGAAAGACATTAACACACTCTTCCTGTCTGTTCCACACATTTAACGCTTATATATGAAATTTTTTATGTATCTTATTTCTCAATTATATTGCTTCTTACGGGTACTGAAGTTTTCTCTCTGAAAACATATGTTTGTGTTCTATGTTCATTAATTGATGACTTTTATAACTGACCAAAAGTTCACATTTTCTTTTCCTTCTTTAGGAACCAACTACTATTTCAGCAATGGAGCTTTCCACTAAGCAGGTAATATCATTACATATTAAAACCAGTATTCTACATTTTTTTAAAATTTTGTGTTTTAAATATATGAATATATTGATGATCCATATAATTGACAATGGTTCAAAAAAAGAGAAAAGAATGTTTTTGCAAAAAGCTAGTAGGATAAAATCTAAAGATATTTTCATTGCCCTCACATTTTGACCAATCTCATATATGTCCTATAAATATACTTGTTAGATTATTACTTGTAAATTTTCATTTATAGCATTTCTGATTATTGTGATATAATTTACTAAATAATTGTATTCATCTATCTATCTTTCCTTTAAAAATAACAGTGGTGGATATTTCAGAGTGTAAACTTATAATTTAATTTATCTGTATATATAAACAAAGTACACTTTATAGGCTTAAAAGCATGCACTAGACTACATATGTTTAGAGATCTTGATTTTAAAGGTCACTTATTTTTTCAGTGGCTTTATAGTCTAGGGAAAACATTTAGTTTGGCTAACTATGAAGGAATAATGGCAAAACAGTCCTGCCAAATGATGTTATTAAACTCCATGAGTTCATAGGTTATGGACAGCATGTTAACAGACTTTCCAGTCACACTGAATGAATGCTTGGCAAGACACGTGAACACAAATGACTTCTAAATGCTAAGTGACATGTACAAAACAAATATAATTTTAACTGCTAACCAAATACCCTTTCCCCATAAATGTTATCTAGCCTTTCTATCCAATATATAACTGGTAATTATATTTTAAAAAGGTTTTAATATTAAGTTGAATTAATAGTTAATTAATAAATAACCTAGTAAGAAAAAAAAAAAAAACAGGATGGAATGGGGAGCCCCACACTTGCTACAGTGAGAACTTACACCCAAAATTGTTTAATATGAGAATCATTTGGCTAATCTTATTTCGGAACTGTCTTATCTCTCACCATGCATTAGCCCTTGTATAAGACACTAAAGCTAAAGTACTGTGCCAATAAAACAGAGTATATCCTTTCCACACATACATGTCAAAATAGATTGATAACCTCCAAGATATTTACAGAAACTTGGAGTGCAGATATTATTGACTTGATACTGTTATCTTACACTTCATAAGTATGTGTTCACCTGTTCTTATCATCTAAAAATTGTCAAATGTTGGCAAGCAAATCTGGGGATTAACAGGATGAAATCAAAACTGGGATATTATTTCCCATAATGATTTATTAAGTTAGTTATTCTCTACTAAGTTTCATTGCCAATCTTCATTATGTTGTATCTAGTATTATAAAGATGTATTTCTGTTTTTTAAAAAAGGTTAAAAGCTAACTCAACAATTGCCTATTAAAAGTAATACATTTCATCAAGATTTTTATAAAAACAACAACAACAAAGAATAGTTTATCAGTTTAAAATTTCATGCTGGAAGAAAGTGTCCCCAGTCTTTATTTTCCAATAGTGGGAGTTTGTTATTATTAAAATGTGACTCCATTTCTTTAAAGCTCCTGGAAATTGTAAGAGTGAGGCAATAATTTCAAGAGGGATAATCAGTGTTACAACTAATTTTCTGGATAAATGGACTCATCTCCTGCTTTATGACCTGCAACTTGTTAAGGAGGATAGTGAGAAAGCCTATGGTGATGTTAAATTGGGCAGAAAAAGCACATCAGGTTGCTTGCTAGTGACTGGATTAAGCTCAATGGTGCCTGCAAACCTCCCATGTATTTCATTTAGATAGCATAATTGGTTTTGCAAATCATTAATAGTACTTCAGAATAATTGTAAGATATAAGCTGGCCATTGAGTTATATTTAATTTTTGGCATTTTATGAACTTTAGCTTTTTTATTACAATAATTTTAGTTGCCATATTTGGAGTTTTCTGTTCTTCCCACGTATTATTTTTCTTTTTTTTCCTCCTAAAGATATATGGTATATTTAAATATTATTTAGTTAATAACAACTATTTTTCTACTCAAATGCCAGTATCAATTTGCTCATTCTTCTTAAAAGCTATTAGACAAACATAGAGTGGTCTTTTGAATGGGTTGACCATTTTGGTCAATAGATTTTTAAATAGTTATGACCACAATATATGGTTCAGTGTGTCCTTATTCACCAATGCCAACTATGTTTCTGGATATTAATACCCCATTTTAACTAAGTTAATTGTTGTTTAAGTATTATGTGCTTGTTTCATTTTTAAATTTACATTGAGATTTCTTGCTTTCAATACAATCTAAGTTTATTTTTTTAATGATGCTTTTGGAAAACAGAAATGAAGAATAGGAGGGGGAAAAGTTAATTCTGTGAATTAAGTTATTTGTTAATATTTTTCAAATTATGGTCAACTGTTATTGCACACTGCAGATGCTATTAAGAAAGATAAAATGTAACCTAAGTGTCTCTCAATGAAAAGCTGAGAGATGAGATGATACTTCATTTTTTTCTTCCCAAGGGATTTTCATTTCTTAGTTTGTCATGGTTTATATCATCAGTCAGTATATAGTAATAAAGATGAATATAGTAAGAAGTTGAGCAGCTGTAATGTATACTCTGTACTATACTAGAATACTCTACTATAAATAGTTTTCACTTACTGGAATGAAATGAGCAATATTGGTCAGGATAACTGCTTTCACTATAGTTTGTTTTTTGTTGTATTTCTTCTTTCCTCTTAGTTCCCTTTTTTTTTTCTTCCTTGTTTTTAAATATATTTATTTATTTATTTATTTCTCTTTCTTGTATTAAGATAAAATTAGTTGGTTAGCTTGAAGCACAGAATTATTTTCTATAAAAATACTCCTTATAACCTTAACAATTTATTTCATTCCAATAGATATTTCTGTTTTTATTCAGCTTACTTGTTTATTCACATATGTAGTCCATCTTTGAAAGTCTTTTTGGAAATGCAATTTTATTTATACCCATTGCTGACTCTCAGGAAGTTTGCAATATTTAAAAGACCACACATGCTTCAGAGATCTGCTTTTCTGTAACTTATTTTTTATTTATATAGTTGAGAAATTAAAAAAAACATTTTTAAGATCTTTTCCATGGAAAGTGTTACATATTTCAGTATTTACATAGGGTTTATTCAACCCTTAGTGCAAGAAAAAGGAAACTATGACTCCAAATACAGTAGAATGTGAAGAAAACACTAAATAATTTTATTTAATTTCATTTTGTATTTAGATAAATTTGCAGCTGATATGCTACATTGGCTCAATTTTGTAAAAGGTATTTTTCATACTGTGCTGAAATCTTGAATTTGTTGGTACTAGGAAATTTTCTCCCCTCCGATATTCTGCCTTATTGGGTAACTCCAAATACATTGAGGATAACGACATAGTTAAACATTTTATCTGATGCATACTCTAAAGATTTAGTTAGACATGTTATTTTATGGAAAAGGCTTAGAAAATAGTGTGGTTGTCCTAAGGTCACAGTGAGAGTTGGTGCAGAGGAAGACTTAGCATCCAGGTGTCTCGCTGCCCGTTACCGCACTGCCCACAGTGCCTGAGCTTCAGCTTTAGGTCTGCTGCACCAGCCAGAGTGTACTTGACCTCCCTCTTGGATGACACTTCAAATGAGAAGTCATCCTGTGTTTATGTTTAACGTAATTTTCCTGGAGGTAGTGCAAGGACAACACATTTGGTTTTGAGCAAAACGTCTCACAAATGCAACCCCTAAAACTGCATCACAGGCAACGTGGGCACCCAGGAGTCAGAAGCAGATGATTGCTGCCTCGGGAATACAGAGCAAGGTAGATCATCTGATCCATCAAAACGATGAACAGTAGAAGCAAAAACAAGCTAACTGAGAACCAAAAAACTTGAAAATGTTATCATTATATTGTTCAACGTTTTACTGTCTTTTCTTTTCTTTTTTTAATTTAGGTATAGTTGACATATCGCTATCACTGTCTTCCTTTATCTTCCCCTGGGTCTATACTTATAAAATGCACCTGTTTCAGTCAAATATTTAAATTTTCATGTTTCTCTATCTTTAAATGGTCACATTATTTGCCAGGCCTTCGAAGAAACTGCCAACAATGAGATTTTTTTTTTAACCTGCAAATATAAATTTATCTTTGCTATGTATAAACATTTTTAAAGAAAACTTTGGAAAACAAGTTAGCTTTGTCGTAATGATACATTCTTTCTACAGCAACAGCTCTATGTCGGCTCCATGGCGGGGGTTGCCCAGCTGCCCCTGCACCGCTGTGATATCTACGGGAAAGCCTGTGCCGAGTGCTGCCTCGCCCGAGACCCCTACTGCGCCTGGGACGGCTCCTCTTGCTCTCGCTACTTTCCTACCGCCAAGAGGTAGGAAAGATACTGGAAGTAAACAAAATGTTTGCTATTATCATTTTTGGAACAGCTTCCTTCATATCAGTATACCAACTTTTTGTCAATTAATAAAAGGAGGTGTGGAGGGTGTGTTTCCCCCCCCCCCCGCCCCTCTTTTCCTTAGTCAAAACAATCATAAAAATGTATAATAGGATAGTTGAGGGCAAATGTAATGGGACAAATGGTTTTAATTAATCACTGGAGGAAATCTAAAACATCACAATTATATCTTTAAATGTTTGTACTTGGAAGTGATAACGTTTTGCAATTTCATTTTACACAGGGGGGAAATGAAGTGGTAAATCATCTTCAACTTAAATCTGTCATATAATCAGTCCATATAGAGGAAAGGTAGTTAATAATATTAAATGTCAATGTGGTAGTAGCCTACCCATTTTGTAAATACAGTTTTATTAAGTCTTTAACATTCAGAATTGAGATGATATGTTTGTATCATTTCATATTCCTACTGATTTTGTTGGAAGTTTACATTTAAAACAAAAACTTACTGTGGAGATAATGCATTATTGATTAAAGAAACCATGGATAATTTAAAAAATAACAATGCACAGCTTTTATAGCAACTGAATCAAGTATTTGATTAAAATGTTATGGTTCGTAAAATAATTTAGCTTTATGGGGCTTTTAATGTTAATCAAAAATATGAACTAAAATTGAGTATTATTTCCTTTCCATGTGAAAATGTCTATTACCTAATTTAGTAACAATCCATTCTAATTTTAAGCTAATCTTAATAAGAAGGATTAAAAATCATAACTACAGCTCTAATATGTTAAAAAGCTGTGTGTTATTTATTTGAAATATGTCTATTGCATTCCTACAATTCATGATTGAAGGAATTATTATTAACAGATTTTGGTATGCCTTGCAGATTTTACTTAATCCAACTGCATATTTCCTTGTAAAGGATGTTTAGAGACCTCACATTTATATGTTCCTTGTGAAGGCATTTTTCAAAAGCTTAAATGCAGTTAAAAAAAAAAAAAAAAAAGCCTTTCCAAGTGCTTTGTGGTTTCTGTTTCACAAGTTCTCTTGTTGGCTCAATTTTGAAATGCACAACATCTGTTGATAGTCTCACCAATCCTACAAATAGGAATCTATAAATACTTTGGACTTCTAAATTTATGAGTACAGTAACAAATTCTCAATGACCTTTGTGTGAGCTCTTTTCAGGAATGGTAACTAACTTTTCAGAAAGACAATACCCATTAAAATAGATGCCGAAAAGAGTTGGGCAAGTGTCCCCAATCTTTTCTGGTCTGTTACACATAGCCCGTCTCCACTTTTAGCCTCTTTCTGGAAGTCTTGTTTGCACCACAATTGCTAAAGCCAAGCTCCTTCTTCCGGGTCAACCTTTAGCAAAGTTCAGATGGGACACCCAGAATGTACTCAACTAACATGATCTGAGCAGTACAAGTAGGAAAAACTCATTTAGATTTTTATAGCAAATTTGGCTTTTCTTTTAGAGGTAAGTTCATTGTCTTCTCTTCTGCCTTATTCTAATGAAAGAAGGCCTTGCTCTTCAGTATTTGTTTTTACTTTCCTTCTTTTATTCACTTCATAGGTAAATTGGTTTGCAATCATAGCCCTATGATCATAAAAGACATATTTAAAAAAAAAAAAAAAAGGTTGACCATAAAAGAAAATTAAAAAACTAACTTAAAAATGGAATTCATAATCTTAATACTTTTAAACTTAACTGAATTCTATTAATGTAACAAAAATATGTGTTAAGAGAAAGAGAAAATTCATATGAATATTAATTTTCAAGCTTCCTCATTAGTGATCAGAAAAAAAATGTTTAATTCTATTTATTGAAGAAATGAATTACTATTCTATTTTTTGTGCTTTTTGCTCAGAATTAGAATTTAAAATGTTAAGAATTTAGGAGTTTCTAGATATTAGATCCTTATTGAATTACATCCAGTAGAAAAAAGAAAGGAAAGAAAATTTGTTATCAATGACTTACAGACTTTTAACGTATTGTTATAGATTTGTATACTGTTTTCCATTTTGATCAGCTTTGGGATTGCTTTTACAGGCATAATAAGCTACTTTGAAAAAAAATATTTTAGTCATGGATACATTTCTTTTGATAAACTCTTAAAGTCTTTGCTTTTTAATTCACCCTAATTCTTATTACAAATTCCCAAGAGGGGATAGAATTACAATAACAACTTTTAAATGATTTGTTTTAGACGTACAAGACGACAAGATATACGAAATGGAGACCCATTAACTCACTGTTTAGACTTACAACACCATGGTAAGTTACAGCATTTTTCATCTTCCAACCTGCTAACTCTGGCATAAAATCACAAGACATAAAGCGTATCTACACACATGCAAGGCGCACACACATCAAGATTTTAAACACTTATGAGACTTAAAGCTCAATATTCTCGTATTATCAAAAGAAGCCAGTTTAAGTGCATGATTTCATATACAGTTGCCACATGAGAGTAGTAGGCAACAAAAATATTCATTTAAATATATCAAAGAAGAACGTGTATTCTTTGTCACTCAAAGTATTCAGTAATATGCTGACAGTACCCAACATATTGTTATTGAATATCCTAGTCTTGTAGAAGATAATTCCGGTATCTTCACGCTGATTTAGTAATAGAATGTTCTTCTGAACTGGGGATTTGGGACCAAGTTCTTTTTATGCCTCCTAATAGGTTTCAAAGCCTACTTAATGTCAAGGTGCTTAGATAATGCTGAAATACCAACCAGTCTTTGTATAAAATGGAGTAAAATTGTAGAATATCTCATTTTCCTACTTCAACTCTTTATAAAAATAATAATGAAGCTGTGCTTCCCTCTGCTGGGGAAACTTATCAATGACATCACTGCTATGAAGAATTCATAGCTAAAATGAGAACATTTTACATGTAATTGAACATAATTATACTATTAACTTTTTTGGTGTCTTTTACATTAATCTTAAAGGAAGGTCTAATATGTTTATCAGTTAATTTGGAAGTGATCTACTAATTCTGCAAATAGAAAATTTATGTTTCACTAATGTAACAAAAAAACAATACACTGCATAAGCAGCACCCTAGCATCCCTAGCATGCATTCCAAAAACTACTTTTCTGAAAGTCAGATCCCTAACATGTATCCTATATGTACTGCTCTCTGGTTTATAAACATTCACGGGGTTGTTTGGAGGATAGCAATACCAGGAGACAGATGTTAAAAAAGATTTAAGATAATATAGCTAGAGCTCATTTTTATCAGACTTTAATCTCTATATTGGTATGTATCCCAAAGATTATAGTAAATTTCAAATGTTTGAAACTTAGTCAGGTATACCCACCCATATGGCCAGGCTGAGTCACACCTTGGGAATCAGTAAATTGTCTTAAAATAGGTGTTATCAATACTTAAAGTAAAATGAGCAAAAATCCAGAGCTCAACCCTATTAAGTCATGTATGTTGTCTTGCTAATGTCCCATCCCTCATGAAATAAAATAGTTGGACTCATATGGAAACACACGAAGATATATTTCACTGAAAGCTGCTAGGCAACTTGAAGCCAAATTATACATTTCAGGACAATCAGTTCCAGCTATGATGGTAAACATAGTTTGTAACACTCTATATTTTACATGTCCTGAGGTTTTAATAAAGAGACTATATAAAATAATGCAGAATGAAGTGAAAGAAATTTTCCTCTTGATGAAACCTTTAGCACTCACTCAGCGCTCTGCTCCCTCTGAGTAAAGGCTGCCCTTGGTGAGCTGGCCTGGGTGAGACAGCTCCCCTTCCCCTCCATCCAGAATGCTCTCTTTTATCACTAGTGGCCCTTCACCTAGGGGAATTTTAGTACAAAACCCTAAATATATAGGTGCTGGCACCTCTTCCTGTCCTCCCGCTTATACCTCATACAGAAGGCTAAAGACAAACCTCAGGTTTTTGCAATATGTTTTCTTCCCTGCATTAATTGTTGTGCACACAATTAAAGCCGGTCTGAATTTGATTAAAGAGCATGGGAGGCTGAATTAATTTATCTTTAAACTACCTCCCCTCTTCCCTTCCTTACCAAACAAGAAGGAGTCAAACTGTGGTCTACAGATCCAGAGAAGAAAAAGCTGCATCCCATAAGTACCAGTTTTTAAATGAACATCATCTTAGACTTTAATCTTGGAAATATTTTATATCCTAACTTCTAGTTTAATGCCATCATTGAATTTCACTTTATAATAGTTCCCTTGGCTGTTCTACATTTCTCCTCTAGTATCCCCATAGAAAAACATCCACAGAATTTGATCTTCTCAATTATCTCCACAACTAGCTCAATTTATGTCTTGGTTGGCATCAAAATTTCATAAAATATCTTTGGCTCTGTCATTTTCATAGTTTACAGAGTTGTGAATATAGTATTTTGTGGCCGTGCTAACCTGGTCATATCTGCCATTTATGCATTTACCTATCTGAAAACCAATAAGAGCATTTTAAACAAAACATTTTCTTCTTTGCTTGAACTTTAATAGCAAATATTATTGAGATAAAAATCTATACAGTAAAATATTAAAATTACAATGTGTTATAAACAATTAAAATTAGATTTATCTTTATATACATTAGCTATTAACTGTATTTGCTAAATATTTAAAATAATTTACAACCATTTGCCCCTTCCCCAAATTGTTTTATTTCATTATTTATGAAATTCAACTTTTCACTAACATAAATAGGAAGACATCAAAAATGATAACAGAGACCAAATAGTTGAATAAACACATTTCATTAACTCACCCAACTTTGTCTTTTCTACATGACATTGATTTTTTTAAGATCCTTACATTATTAACATTTCAAACTTGGAAGACATTTATGGGGTTAAAATGAAAAGCTGAAATGTGATGCCTTCTGTTTCTGCTTTATTGGAAAAGAATCAAATACTAAATAAGGCCTTTAGCAATATGATATTTCTGGCCAAATGATGGATATCATGACTTTTTGTTGTTACAAAAGGAAGCAATTTATTTAACTTCTTTCTTTCCTCCCATTCTTTCTGGTTTATTAGGCTCATTTCATTTCCATAAATTATTCCACTAAAAGAGGAAATGATTAATTGAAGATTGCTTCCTTAAAAACATTATTTCTTGTCATTAACAGCTGTAACATATTGTAACATTGTGTTATTCAAAAACACTGTGGTGCATTTAAAATTATTTTAATGTTTGTTGCTCTCTCAATTATTTTGCTCTAAATATTCAATTCAACCCGTGAGAACTCATTATGCAAATTTAACAACTATGCCCTGCTTGTCTACTGGTAATTTTCATTGCAAAAGTTTGTATTCAAAACAGTTGCTTTCTAAGTGTGAAATGTATTTCTAAATGGATTACATTGATATTGCTTTCTTTCTGGAAACCTACAAGATTACTCATGGACAAGGATATCCATTAGAGATTTAGGGGTCCTTGAGATATTACCCTGAATTCTTTATCAAATTTCTTTCTCTTCTTTTCCCATATTTGGATTTTTTATTCTGTAGTATACTTGAGTAGTCATCATTTTCTCTCACGTTATCTCAAATCAACTGTTGTAACGTCCTAAAATTTAACAAATTTAGAATATCCTATCTAATAAAAGGATAATATGCAAATTAATCATCACTGTTACAAAGATGGCAGTGCTCATAGCCACAATATGGTGGCACCCAGCCCTCTCAGCCGCCAGAATTCCCCAGTCCTGGGGGGGCAGCTGATGAGAGCGGGCAGCATGATTGGCCTGGAGGAATGTTTGCTTCATTGCCATGGTGACAAGGCAAGTGTTCTACACCCAGCCACAGATGGGCCTCTGGCCAGGCTGGGGTGCAGAAAGAGGCAGGCGCTTCACACCCAGCTTCAGATGGGCCTCTGGGCCATGGGCACAGAGAGGCCAGGCCCTGCAAAGAGCTACTGGCACATGGATTTGTGCCCAGGCCTAATAGTTTTAAATGTTTAACAATGCATTATGTATAATCAGGGTTATATACCCTATACCCTTTCTAATTGATTACATTTAAAATTATTTTGAATAAAACTATAGTAACTCTATCTTGAGGATATCAAAGTTACATGAGATTTTAGCTTTAAATGCAGGGTAAATAGTTGCCTAGATTTGCCATTCAGCAAACTTCAGCCAAGGGTTAATAAATGTCTTGTAGAATGTATAGTTTGGAGGAAGATAACTAGATTAATAATTAATTCTAAAAACTACATTACTCTAAAGATATATGCAAAACAAGATGCTAGGTAGCATAAAAATGAGTTTATTTTTTTGGTGGAAGAGCAGGATTGATGCTGGGGAGGAGTTCATAATTTGTCTAGTATGAATTCTCAATAAAAGATTCTAATTTATGAATGAATTAACAGTTTAAAATATTAAAAGAGCAACCATGACAATAATACCACCTTACATATTCATGATTATTTCTGTTTTCAGACATTATATGTTATTTTTATGTATATATATTTTATGAACCACAAAGAAAATATTTTAAAGGGTTGTAAGTATTTTGTTATGTATAATTGTTAAACAAACTAATAGATTTCATACAATTTGCAATTATTTGATTAAATACAAATATAAGATAAAGATAGGAATAATGTCACACAGCAAAGCAAGTATGCTGACAAAGAATCAAAACAAGTCATGGAGGAAAAACATATCAAGAAATTATAAGGGCCCTAGCTGGTTTGGCTGAGTAGATAGTGCATTGGCTTGTGGACTGAAGGGTCCAAGGTTTGATTCAAGTCAAGGCACATGTCCAGATTGCTGGCTCGATCCCTGGAGAAGGTATGCAAGAGGCAGTTGATCAATGAGTCTCTCTCATCATTAATGTTTTTTATCTCTCCATCTTCCTTCCTCTCTGAAATTAATAAAAATGCATTTAATGATTTGTGGTAGCTCCTGAACCAAAGAAGACTTTCCAGCAGAAATACTCAATTTCTCTCCATCCAGGGAAGCAGATGTCTTGCAAACTAGCAGAGCAACGTGTGCCATATCTATTCAATCAAAGATACACTAAAAATATCAGTGAAAAAATACTACCATATTGAATGTTGATATTGAAAAAGATATATATATATATATATATATATATATATATATATATATATATATATATCCAGTGTGTAAAAAATGACTTCAAGTGGATTAAATGTTGTTTCTTTACATTTCATTCATTTCCTGCTTTCTCCCCCCGCTATTTCTAAGGGATTGATCTTTTAAATAAGAAGGGACAGATACTTCTCTATATTAAAAGAGTTATATTTCACACCTCCATCAATACAGGGAAAGACACAATAGAGGTTAACATCCTTGGAAATAGCAAATGGAGGCAGAAGGTTGATTCTAGACAGGGTGAGACTGCGAGATGATGGACATCGGCCATGTACACAAGGATCAGATGGCAGGAGGATTTGGAAAGTTTTCAATCTAATGTGAGCAAGTCATATTGTGTCTGACAGACAAAAGTCTTCATTCTGATTATAAGGAGAGTAAAACTGTCAAAGTGATGCCAAAAAAAGGTGGGGGAGGCTTAAATAAAAAAAATCTAGCTAAGTTTGAAATAGAGAACAAAAAGTTTTCATCTGTCTCTTACTGTCAGCCCTCTATGCATATGAAAATATATTTATTATTTTCTAAATTAATATAATGAGTTCCAGACTATGCAGGACGTCATAATGAAAACAGGATTATACAAGATAATAAGGAGGATTTTTTTTTTTTTTACTCTAAATGAGTTTTACCTACATCCCATGTGTCATACTTTTGATCTTAACTGTGTTTCATTCACCACACTGAAGGGGGTTACATAAAGGGTAAAATAATAGAAACTTAATCAGGAAACAGGATTTCTTATTGTTGCATTTTATTACTGACTCTTGCCATATTCTTTAGTCTGATTCTTAAAAATATTGCAAGATGTGTCATCTTAAAATGAGAACAATTGAAACCACATGGCGTCGGAACGGCACTTCTTTCCTCTGAACCATCCCAACCTTTTCACACCAATTGATCTTCAGAACAAACCTTTTCTATTTGGGAGGTACTGGCAAGGAATATAAAATTCCTGAACTCATACCATTTATAAAATACTAGGTAAATATTGGTTGGTAAATTTACTTTTACAAATAAAACACACACACACACTCACAATACAAAGAAGCAAAAATCTTGTTTTCAAAGGCCTAGTTTAATAACTTGACTGCTGGGAAATATTGTAATATGAACTGGCCCCACTGATCAGAGCACAGAGTTTTACGGTGAAAATCATTTCTTGGAGAGGATTATCATGACTTCTAAAAATGTATAGGTATATCAGACATGTGACAGATTTTGTTGCTGTCATGCTGTTTTCTGGTAGGCAGATATCTGCACGTGGCTTATATAATCCATACCAAAGGAATGTCTGTTTTGATAACCATTTGGGTTCTGAAACTTTACATCCTTGACATTTCTGCCATCCACAATTAATTTGAAAAAGACTCTCAGCTTGGCAATAAATGTATCTCTTGAATTTCCAAATAAGTACATAGAAAAGTTGAGTTGGTTTCTCCAACATTTCTCATTTCATTTCTTCCTCCCTGAATAGATAAGCACCATGACCACAGCCTTGAAGAAAGAATCATCTATGGGGTAGAAAATAGCAGCACATTTCTGGAATGTAGCCCCAAATCACAGCGAGCTCTGGTCTATTGGCAGTTCCAGAGGCGAAATGAAGAGCGAAAACAAGAGGTATCATAATGAAACTGCATGAATATTGAGAGGCGGAGTGCTATGAATCTTTATCCTTTTCTTCACTCAATAACAGCTCATTCACTAAACAAATATTCATTGAAGGCTGATTAAATGACAAGCTTTGTGCTAGCAGTTAGAGAAACAAATGTGAGTTTTGTCTCAGAAGCCATTTGGGGATATATTTTAGAATCTTCTTTCTTCTTTCTGTAGTTATCTACAAAGCAGTTATGTTATATATTTGTCTCGTGAAAAAAAAATCCCCCTAGTAATTTTAATTTTTGTTCAATTAATTCTGCTATCTAAATGTGTGTTTGTATTTTTTCTTCATTAACTTCCACCTCCAATGGGAAAGGCAGGTTTGGGAAAAAGAGTAGTAGATTTATGATGAAGTATGTAAGGTCCCAGTATGAAATTAGCATGCAGTATCAGACAGAGCTTCCTATTCCTGTGTAAAAAATAAAGAACTGTGCATAGAAAATATCAGTGAGAACCCTGAGCTTTCAAAAAGCATTAAATAAGGATAACAAGACTATGCAGGTTATTTTTAAATATATTATGTGCAGACAATTTTATAAACATAATCTGAAGATAAAGGCAAAAATTATCCCATTATCTTTTTTGACATCTGAAGCAGTCTTTAAGTATGTAGTCACATCACACAAATGTCAAGATTGGTTTTGTTCATTACTGTTAGACATCTCTGTTAGAAACTGTATTCAAAATAAAAGTGAGGTTAGATATATTCAAGAGCATGTCTGCATGGTTCTGTCACATCTAAGACCTAGGAAAATGAATAAATACTTACTAAGCTTGTTACGCTACCCTTTTTCTACTTGCTCCATTGCTGATGTCTTTGTTTCATTTTTTTTCTGATCTTCCTAAATGTACATTCTAATGCCGAATTGTTTTCTACTATCATGGTTCTGCGTTTCCAATTCTAATAGTTAATGTTAACTTTCTCCTACATTTATATGCCTTCTTTCAAATGTACAAAATAAAGTATATATTTATACTTTCCTCCCATTACCTTGAATATTTTAAATTATGAGAACTTCTATTGAAACCATAGGGAGCCAGTGTTTTGCAATGCATCTTAAAAAACAATTGACAAATTTATAACTTTTTATTTTTCTGATAGGAAAATGATATCATATCTCTTAAGCCAGAGACTTCAAGTGTTACAATGTGCATCAACACAATCTACATTTTTACAGACATAGAGTTTCAGAAATTACATTTCTTTTAAATATACATATTTTACTGCCTTTTTCCTCCTTCTGCTAGATTAGAGTGGACGATCATATCATCAGGACAGAACAAGGCCTTCTACTGCGCAGTCTACAGCGGAAGAATTCAGGCAACTACCTGTGTCATGCCGTGGAACACGGCTTCATGCAAACTCTTCTTAAAGTGACCCTGGAAGTGATTGACACAGAGCATTTGGAAGAACTTCTTCATAAATATGACGATGGAGATGGCCCTAAGACCAAAGAAATGGCCCACAGCATGACACCTAGCCAGAAGGTCTGGTACAGAGACTTCATGCAGCTCATCAACCACCCCAACCTGAACACAATGGATGAGTTCTGTGAACAAGTGTGGAAAAGGGACCGAAAGCAACGCCGGCAAAGGCCAGGACATACCCAAGGGAACAGTAACAAATGGAAGCATTTGCAGGAAAATAAGAAAGGTAGAAACAGGAGGACCCACGAATTTGAGAGGGCACCCAGAAGTGTCTGAGTTTCATTACCTCTAGAAACCTCAAACAAGTAGAAACTTGCCTAAGACAGTAACTGGAAAAAAAAAATGCAATATACATGAACTTTTTTCATGGCATTATGTGGATGTTTACAACGGTGGGAAATGCAACTGAGTTCCACCAATTATAAATTAAGTCCATGAGTAACTTTCCTAACAGGCTTTCTTCCTAATGCCAACAAGTAATAGAGGTCAGGTGAACACAGATGTTCCCTGTAGCAGTCTTAACGTTTCCTATGGGATTTCCCTGTACAGGTTTTGCTTTCTTTGCCTGAGAAATAAAAATGTCATTTGCCATGTTGCCATCTAAAGAAGAAAAACTGCATCAGCAAAGCCATTTTATTTAACTAAAACTTTAAAATAAACTGCATGGATTTACTAAGCTGATGCATATTCCAAAACGTGGTTGGATTCATGGATATTTTTGTCTACCAGCACTCCTGTTTATATGTACTGGAGGAGTAAAATGAAATGGTCTGTGGAAATATGAAAAACATAAACCATCCATCATCCAGAAGAAAAATGGAATACACTGATCTACTACTGATGTCTTCTTTCAGCTTTGATCTAAAGATGTATTTTATTAAAACTATAATTTAAATGTACCATGACAAATATGCAGTAAAATTTAGCTCTTTCCTAAGCTAGAGTAGGTTTTTGTCTTACAATTATTGTACTATATAGTTTTTGCTTTAAAAATAACAATTCTGTGCTGCTTTTTTCTCTCAAAATTTTGTTTTCTGTTCTGCAAGAAGGAGAGCCAATAATACTGTTTTAGAAATATATACACTTCTTTAGAAGTTAATTCCTAAAACATGGATAAATTATGATTTATTTTTCTGAGAGTTTCAAACAAAGAACACCTCTTCTTCTTTAAGTATTATCTAAATTAATTTTAACCTGCATAATGTTCTTGGAAAAAACAGAGCATTTAACCCTTCCAAAAAAAAGTGAAGGAACAAATTGATATGTTAAACACATTTTGTTGTATCTAATGAATAAATGAGGAAAAATGAGCTGAATATTTCTTAAAATTTATAAGCATTATCTTAATATAATATTAATAGAAAATGTATCTTAATTCCAAGTTTGATTGCCTGCATGATACTTGAGACATAAGAACTCTGTCTCATGATTCCATTAGGAATTACACCTGTGCCACCTAACATTTTTTTAAAAATAGAAATCATTAATATTAAGAACACTATCTTAAAAGCAAATTTCTCAGCTCTGTTTACATCTGTATCAACTGCCTCTTATTTCTCATTAAGACAGTTATCTGTCTAAAGAACATGACTTATTTTCATGTCAGTGACTTTTATACAAACTGTTTTCCAGGATACAATCCACACTTAAAACATGTAAAACTGTCTCTTGCAAAAACTTATAAAATAAGGTAATGATTATTAACTAAGGGCTTGCCTGCTTTATTGTCCTAAGATGATTCCTTGAGAGTCATTGACTTCAAGGCCCGTAGAACCATCAGCATTACAGTAATTTCTTTTGCACAGCATTCCCCTGGCCAGAAATCCCTCCCTAGGCCCTTCAACATGCACAAACATGCAAAAGAAGCATCCTTATTGCTACTTATTGAAAGCAGCACTGAAATGCTAACTCTGTCTTGGGATTCTAATTAACTCAGCATTAACTTCTCACCTCAGACTAGGGTGAATTTTCTAAAATTTCTCTATCAGCTGAAACTTTTCACAGATTGAAGCTCATGTTACAGTTTTAATGATTATGTTGAATAAACAATTTGTTGGCACTTGTTTCAAATGAAAGCCTAAAAATATTCAACATTCCATTTTAGGTTCCATTTATTAATACAGTATTACTTTTAGAAGTACATCCTCTAATGCTATCTTAATTTTAAATTATTTGAAGAACACACTCATACAGAGGGGGGGGGGGGAGTGTGAAATGTAAATCAAAGAACAAAGAGTGTTCCAAAAATAAGTTATTCTTTTATTTTTATAGAGTATCTAACTGTACTAAAATACGGTGTTGCATTTCATTCTATAATTGCAACTGAAATGAATTTATTTGCAATAACAAAAAGTATCATATTTTTATTAGTCTTTAAAAATAAAAGATTTGAAGGGCTAGGGATAATAATTTCAGGATGTCTTCCAATATCTAAATGTATTTTGTTTAGCATTATGAAATACCCATGGATAGAAAGTCTATACTTTAAAAGAAATTTAAAAAACTAACAAATCTACAGGCATGTCTTTATAAACCATCAGGTCTAAGTTTTCAAATAAAATTAAGGATATAACTTGCAGGTAAATAACTCTTATTTCAGTTACAATCTTCTGCCAGTGTGTATTGAGAGGGGACAGGTTGCACGAAAAATTATGTCCCATTCAATTTAATTTGATAGGCTGATATATGCATGGATCATCAAAGCTGAAAGCAAGTTAAGAGAGTCACATGTCCTTGAGCAAATTATGATGGTGGTCTTAAGACAGGAAAAAGGTACTTTGCAGCAGAGAAATGATGGCCCAGTTGAGATGAAATGTAAAATGTAAATGCATGTAAATGCACATTTAATAGTAATTTTTATGTATTACTTAGTGATTTTCAATGGTATGTGCTTAATATTTTTGCTACCTACACATTAGGCAAAGAGATGTAAATAATTTTGAAAAGAAGACGAGTGTACAATGCAACATTATACAGGTACTCCATTTCAGTGTGTTCAACGTCACCAGAAAATGCCAGATTTCCCACCAGGTGACAAGGTGGTTCATGTGCTATTTAAGGGCAGGAGGTGTGCGCCCATTCAATAAGCATGTTTTTTTCCAGGTAGTACATAGGTTCCATATCTGTATTTATCATTGCCTTTCAGATGGGAACTACAAAACTGGAAAGAAAATGTAATGAAACTGCTGCTGTAAATTATTCCTTTTGGCATGTATTCAGTTGCTAAATACACATTTCTTCAAAACATTTGAATTCAGATGTCTTTACTGTCCCCTCCAGCCTATGATGTGAAGGAACATAAAGTTCAGGAAATGTGGAGAACCTGTCAGGTGACCACATAATCAGCTCTCAGGTTTCCGCATTGTGGTCATCAGCAAACTGGGTTCTATACTTATGGTGATGATGTGAAACTTTATGACCTTTAGCTTAAATATTGATATTTTTATGTGATGCCTGAAAAGAAAATATGGGGATGAAACTCTATAAGGTGTCATTATCATAATCATTTTGGTTTTATTCAGATGTCTGCAAATTTATTATTGAAATCGATGATCCTGAAGGTTATGAGTGAGAATTAACATGGAGTGAATAGCAAAACATTTGAAATCTTTGTTTTATGAATTCACTTTTTACGCACCATTTGCTTTAACTTTAATGGAAATCTTGCAAGGTTTATGGCTGAGTGAGTTGTAAGGTGTTAAATATAGCTGGCCTGATGCCAAAGACATCCATCCTTTCTATTTTAACTTTGTAGTAATTATTAAAAATCAATGTTTATGTTCACAAAATACATGTTTCCATGAAGAAGAGAACATTCTCTTTAAAAAAAAAAAAAGTCTGCAAAATCATTTTATTTCTAACAATTTTCTTATACTTAAAGAAACATACGTTTGTTGAGTTAATATGTTAAGACGAGCTATAAATGAAAGAGAGAATGAAGCCACAGAAACCATGCCGCATATCATATGACCATTTTTACAGTCAACGTGGCCGAGGAAAGAGCTTGGTTTTCATTTCAAACATGCAAGCACACACAGGCAGAAAAGAAGTAATATGCAAACAATACATTGAAATATAAGACACGTTTGTCTAAATGAGTAGAAGAAGGGAGATCTGAATAGACAAAATAAGGAGGATGGAGAAGAGGCACGAAAAGTGTTTTTATCCTCAGAACAAGTATTCCAAACGGATGGAGCATGTGGTTCATCAAGAAAAGTAAAATGTCCCACTACTATGAGTCAATGGTGCGTTTGTTTATTTTCTTCCTGGATTTGGGTTTAATGCTCTCTATTTGAATCACGCATTCTCATCTGGCACACGTTGTCACGCACTCTGCTTCCTCCCACCCTCTACCCATTTGCTTTGGTTCCTACCTTACCTCTTCATGTTGAGCTCTTTTATTTTGACTCAGCTGAAGTCCTTACAAGTCAGTGTTTCCACAACCATCTTCAAACTAATCTTTATGCCATGATCTCCTCTCTAGGTCAACTGACCACGCTTCAGCTGGAACTGAGGATTTCACAGATGAGTGGCTGGGAGAAGACAGCTTCGTCAGGTTGACCCATCTGTGCTCTAACAATTCAACAGTTTCTCTTACAGTTCACTTTCCTTCGGTATTACCTCGCTCATCTAGTATTAGAATGCTCAGCCACAGGTTCCCATTACCTTGCTAATTTGCAAATAGTTTTGTTTTTTGTGGGTTTTTGTTTTTGGTTTTTTTTGGTTTGGTTTAAAACAATTTCAACAAAAATATTAAAATATGAAGCTTGTATTTGTTCATGGTTACCCTAGATAGAGTATTTCAGGGCTAAACAATGATGCAAGTGAGTTTAGCATATATAGCTGACAAAGACTTATTTTTACACACATGCAAAAAAAAAAAAAGAGTTTCTTAAAAAGTGAGGAGGCCTGGCCACATCTTGAATTTGTCAACTTCACATCACCATTATATTAAACTGTCAAGGTTTTCTCATATAACAAGAGAATGTATTTTATTTCTTTTAATGTAAACATTATACTTGTAGACACACTGTTTATTTATACAGTACCTACGTAAAAGTTTTTATAAATGTACTCAAATCATCACAACTTGGGTAGTTTTAAAGTTTCAACTTTCATCCTTTCTTTGTACATTTTGCTGAAACATTATACCTCAAGTAAAGACATTTTTAAAAATCCATGTCATTTGTGTAGCCCAGTTTATGATGTTTTAACCCATTTATATATATAAATACATTTACAGAAGCTTAAGCATTTTTAGACAAAGTTGTGTGACT